TTAAAAAAATGGGTGAGAAGTGATGAAAAAAAATAAAGTTAGGATGTAAGAGAAAGTCATAAGGATAAGCATGATTTAAAAGATGATCTTTATATTTTCCTAAATGTGGTTCAAAAATATATCTAGATCAAAAAGTAAGCATAGGTGACTTGTAGTTTATTTTTAGATATTTATTTTAATTAATAATTAAGAAATAATAATTTTAATAAGAAATAATAACTGCTAAATAAGTAAATTCTACTAAAATTTATATTCTAAAATTTGTGTCTTTAGAATTTTTTGCAAACCCTAAACAATATGGTACCCAACCAAATTTGTGAAGCTTTTATTAATATAGACAGTTGGGATATCTTTTTTTTTTTCATGGAAGAATAATCCACAAGGGCTCATCAGTGTGATCTTTAGTATATTATGATTTTCAGTTTTATACATGTTTTAACATTTTTGAGTTGCTCAGCCTCATTTTCACCGACTAATTTTTCTTATAGGGTTAGTTTTACCTTATAAAATATATTTATGTCAATTCATGGCAACAATGATTTTGGCTTACAAATTTTCCCAAAACAAACTTTGAGACAGGAAGTTTCCCGAAACTGTTACTTGTATAGTGAGATTTCACTGGTGAAGTTCTGAGTTAAACTTGTGCTGTTTAATTAATTTTAAATTTGTCCTCAAGTTAGGCAATAATAAGTCGTTGAGGTATTTTCAAGTATGTAAGAAAAACTATAATGCTAATAATTGTTCTCTTAAAATTATATTTGATAGGGCCAAGGATTTAGCTCAGTAGTACTGCACCTGACTCACAAGCTCTAGATCCTGAGTTCCGTCCCCAGTGCAAAGAAAAAAAAATCACACTAGACTTTCCTATATGCTGCTAACAACATTTTTATCAAATTTTATTCCTCTTTAATTCTATCTCTTTTTAATGTTCAGAATTCAAAATAAATATATTTATGTGACATTGTGTCATTTAATCTCACAAGCTCTCCTCCAAGGATGTTAGTGTGTTTTTTTTCCCCCTTATTTAGATGTTTTCTTTATCTCTTTTTGTTACTGGGAATTGCACCCAGTGCTCTCCCACTGAGCTATATCTCCAGCCCCCCTTAACCTTTTAAAAAAGTGTTTTAGTTTCTCTAGTGTGAAAAACTATAATAGTACACAAGATCCTAATGAGATAATTGACAATGTGAAATAGGAAGAAAAGGGCTAAAGGTGTAGGGAAAGTGGGAAGGGTGGAGGAAAGGGAATAAGGGAAAAGAAAAAAATATGAGAAAATGAAAAATGGAAAAAAAGTGTTTGTAAATGGGGAGGGGAGGAGGGGGTGAAGGGAGGGCAGGGACAAGGGGAAAAAATGAGAACCAAGACCTGTCATGTAAAGGTACAAGATCCCAACGATGAATGTGACTGTACTGTATACCTAAAATGTACCAATAAACTCAATAAAAAGAAAACAGAATTTTAATTCTTTCCAAATGCTTACATTTTTCCATGAATGTAGCACACAGGACTGCATTCACAAGGAGCTGGTACATGGACATTACGGTTCTTAATTCTTTTTACAGCCCCTTTCTCTCTTCTCCCTCCTTCTCCCTGCATTTCTCAGTCCCCTTCCCATGTCAATTTTATGAATACAAAAACTGGCGTGGCCATGGTAAAGGATCTTAGTGAGTGACAAGGGGAGGAACTTGAATATCAATTTTGATTTTTTTATATAACACTGCACCAGTGCTACCCAGCAAAATTTCTCTTAGTTACACCATTAAAGGTTGCCCTAGTTTTAAGTTTCAGGTCAATAACCCAGGCCTGACACCTTAATTCAGCAAACTCTGGCTGCGTGAGGAGCTGGCCACACTGGCACCCATCAAATCCTTAGTCTAATGCAGACTACATTCATGATATCTCTACAACATCAAAACATGAGTGTTTCCTCCATGAAGTTCCATTCTGATTTTTCTTTAAATGTTTCCTCATATTATTACTTAGGGAAAATCAGATTGAGTGCTTTCATAGTTTAGATAAAAATCATTATTGGACATTAATTTTCTATTTTCTATTTCCCTGAAAACAATTCAGTAAATTCTATTCTACTGTAAGAAAAGAAAAGAAAACAGCACTAAGATAACAAAATGAAAGGTCATTTCACTGTTTTACAGATGTATCATTAATTTAAAAGATTAAAAACTGACAGTATTTTCTTCATAATTACCTGCACCAAATTAGTGAGTGAGGAGAATTATGCAGAAATAATTTCTTTTGAGTTAGGGCTGGGAGTACAAAGAGACCTCGTGAGGAGAGTGACCCTATGTCCAGTTTGTTTGCACCAGTCCTCATCCGTCCCTGTTGTCCTGGCATTCCGTCTGGTTAGCAACTGTCCACAGTTTCACAGATTTGAAGGACAAGTTTCACTATTCATTTTAACTAAAAGGAGCTGAGTTGAGTTTGGTAGATTTCTACTGTGCTTGCCACCTCTGATGGCCTATCTAGTAGTTTGTGAGACCCATGTGCAATGAAAAGATTTCTCAGTTTAATGTGCGGTTAAATCTGAAGGACAATGAACAGCTTATCTCTCTGTTTCCAATTCTTTCTACAGCCATATCCCTTCAAAGGCTGCATGCAGTGTGTTTGCTAGTAAAACAAAGAGCTCTCAGACCTTAGAAGCCAAGAATAGCTAACTCTTTTTGTGCCAAATGCATGAAGCTGCAGGCTACCAGAGGTTAGAATTAGTAGGAAATGCTAGAAATCATGCCTGTGGTAGATGGAAAATATGTAAGAAAAATAGAGGATGAGTAATCCTCTTCTGCAGAGTGTAATGCATAGTGTTTTTATCATTAATTCTCTGCAATTATGTGGCATGATTTAGCAAACATTTCTTCATTTTGGAATAAACCCTTTCAGGAATGATAACAAAAAAGAATGAGATGGACACTTGATAAAATGCTAGGTAGAATTTTTCTTTAAATGTTCTATGAAAAATGTATAATTTGCATGTTTGTTGACATTTACTATTTTTGATGGGAACTACAGGCATATCAATAACATGAGCATCAGAAGATGCAAATTTGCTGAAGAAACATCAATATATGCTATAAAATTAGTTGGAATTTAGCACCAAAGAATAGAGAGGCATGCTTTGAATACATAACCAACTATAATTATTACAAAGAGTGCTTGCAAACAAGAATACATTGAAAGGAATCCCTTCAAAAGGAGAAACTAAACAAATTAAATGAGAACTCCACTAATATAAAAGACTTAATCTGAAGTTTTATGATTGCATTTTTGGAGTAACTTAAGTGATGGGAAGAAGGTTTTGTTGGAGCGCTTCTCTTTAATTGAATCAATTTATATACTTTTGAAATGTTTAAATTTAGCTATGCTTCCAAAATAATCATAATAGAGGTAAATAGTTTATGCTTTTTTGAATATTTGTCAAAGGAAATTATTTTAAATAAAAGCAAAAAAGCTCCACTGTCTGTGATATTTACATATTTTGATATAAAAATACTAACATTGAAAATATACTCCTTTCCATTTAAAAATTTTATAGTGTACAAAATCAGTCAATTGAAAATGGCCACAAGTTTCAATGTATTATTCATAAAACTGTGTTATTAAAGAAATTTGCTGATAATTTTCCCCAAAACATTAAAAATAATACAATAGGGGCTGGGGATTTAGCTCAGTGGTGCCGTGCCTACCTCTTAAGCTCAAGATCCTGAGTTCGATCCCCAATACCAGAAAAAAAAGTGTGATCATATTAAAATAATTTATTTTTCTAATAATAATTGGCATTATAGTAAGGATAGAAATGGATAAGCAACTGTTTAAAATACATGCACACATGCAAAAATACCCTTCCTTCTTAAATTGAGAGTGAATTTCTTTTTAAAGCGTTTTATACTACTATTTTATATTTCCTAAATTTTCGGTATATGTTTTCTAAAATCCAGTATGTCTTTTATAAAATTAGTACGGTTACCAGAGCCAGAAATTGAACATTGCTTATACTGTATTTAGTGTTCAGATAAAGTTCAAGAAACATTTCAGTATTGCTTTAGTGTACAGGATATGTGCTCATTTTATTTTCAGAAAGAATTTTAATTTGAGAATAGGTACTAAACAGAAACTTTTTATTCACCAATATATTAAAACCAAATTGTCAGTTTTTAATTATTTTGAAATTATACAGTTGAGGGGCCAGGGATTTAGTTCAGTGGCATCGCGCCTGCTTCTCAAGTGCAAATTCAAACCCCGGTACCTCCCATCAAAAAAGAAATTATATGACTTAATTATTTGTATTGCTGCCATTCACTGTTAATTATGGCTGATTTCGGCTTCCTTGAATATGATGGCTGGAACCAGGAACATGATTCCATTGCAAACTAATGCTGTTACTTTATGTGTTTTTTCTATATCATAATCCTATGTGATTTGCAAAATGGAACTGCATATACAATGTGGCTGTAGGAGCCTAGCCCTTTATAACAGACCAGTTCTTGGAGGCGACTGTGTGGAAGCCCTGAAACTGTCTACTGCAGTTGATTTGAAATTACAAACGATAGTGCTGAAAATACAGTATATGTTTCTGTGATTTTGAGCAACAGCAGACATCCTGAAGGGGATGACAAAACAACCTATCACGTAGGTGGTTTTCAGTTTGTCTTTCCTTTCAAATTCATATTTTTGCTAAAGTAATTTATAGAAAACATTTAACTAAAACATTTTATTTTTATTTTTTATTGGTATTATGCATTGAAGCCAGGGCCTTAGACATGCCAAGCATGCAGTGACCACCAAGACCCTAACAGAAATATTTTAAACAAAATGACAGAAATATTGAGGTAGGAGAAGGGAACCACAACCTACTGTAAATGAGGTATTGGAAGAGCTCTTCGTTCTATTCATTATAAATAAAATTAAGGTGCTTGTTCATGCTGTTCTAAAGTATCAAGCTACTTATAGAAATGCTCTGAGAAATCTTTGCACTCGTTTGTTCTAAGTCTTATCAACATGGAGGACAAACACATATAGAAGGAGATCAAATAATGAAGAAGGAGTGTTTCCTAGACCTACTGGCAACTAAATAGTCATAAAAAGACACCAAAAGAGAGATCACAGAGAAGGTGTTTATATTCTCCAACCATCCCTTCATCCACTCCACCACTGTGACAGTTAACCGTGGTGTCAGGCGGAATAAGAAACCCACAGTTGATTGGCTCAGTGTACTTCCGGGTGTGTCTGAATGACCGACTCACTGAAGAGGAAAGACCCATCCTGGGCTTGGACGGCACCAGCCAATAGCTTTGTGCCCTTGGATGGACTAAAAGGAAAGGAGAAGGTGAGTTCATGTAGAGAGAGGAATGGTCCCCCAGGCTGAGGGAAGGTATATGTCTTATATTGAATCTGTCCTCTTGTGATCACTGACAGATACACCCATCCCTCAAAACATCTCTATCCACCCATCCCACTGTCCATCTTTCTGTACATCCACTCATTCAGTCACATAGCTAATAGTTAATGAGTGCATGCTTTTCATATATTAAATGGCACAGAATATGAAGACCTCGCCTCACTCTTCAATTGCTTACAGTAGGGAATCGATGCCATTCAATATATATCTCAATGTGACAAGGAGATTTCTGACTTATATTCTACCACTTTGGGGAAAGGAGAATCCTTTTCTAACAGTTTAGGAAAATAGCATGTTAGAGTTACTCTTTATGCTAATAAAGTTCTAATCATCAGGTGAATAAGGGCACTCAATCTCCATTTAGCTATTCTATTTATTTCAACAAATGTTTACTGATTTCTTATAAATTAGCTACTAGAGGGCAGGGGAACAAGTATAACGTTATCTTTGCACTCAAGCAAAAGGTACAGACAAGTGGATAATTTGAAAACCACACAACGGATTCTCTGGCAAAGACATGTTCATGCAATGTGGAAAAGTCAAGATGTTCTCTAACCTGCCCGGAGGTGAATGGGGAGCAGACAGGGTGTAGAGGAAGATCTCTGGGGAAAATCTGAAAAGATTAGGCAAACTAATTAAGTACAAGAAGGGAGAGAGAAAGAGAGGGAGAGAGGAGAGAGAGAGAGAACGCCAGGGCAAGTGAGAGCTGGATACGCACTGGGTGATTCTGCCTCGCTGAGGAAATAAGTAAATGTGGGCAAAGGAGATCCTAAGAAGCCCAGAGGCAAAATATCATCACATTCTATGCGCAAACTTGCCAAGGAGAGCACAAGAAGAAGTACCCAAGTGTTCTGTTAATTTTTCAGTGTTTTCTAAAAAGTGCTCAGAGAGGTGTCTGAAAAATTTGAAGACATGGCACAGGCGGACAAGGCCTGTTGTGGAAAAAAAAGAAAAGAAAAGAAATGAAAACCTGTATCCTTCCTAAAGGAGAAACACAAAGGAAGTTCAAGGATCCTAATGGGCCCAAGAGGACTTCTTTGGCCTTCTTCTTATTCTCTTGTGAACAATGGCCAAAAATCAAAGGAGAACATCTTGGCCTCTCCATTGGTGATGTCACAAAGAAGCTGGGAGAAATGTGGAATAATACTGTGGCGGACAACAAGCAGCCTTACTAGAAGAAGGCTGCCATGCTGTAGGAAAAGTACAAAGAGAATATTGCTGCCTACCAACCTAAAGGAAAACCGGATGCGGCAAAAAAGGAAGTTGTTGAGGCTGAAAAAAGCAAGAAAAGAAGGAAGAGGGGGAAGAACACGAAGAACAAAATGATGATGAATAAGCTGGTTTTAGCGCAGGTTTTTTTCCCCTTGCCGATAAAGCATTCAACCCCCTGTACACAACTCACTCATTTTAAAGAAAAATATTGAAATGTAAGGATGTGTAAGATTTGTTTTAAAACTGTAGAGTCTGTTTTTGTACAGTTAACATACTGTCGAATGTGTCACCCTGTCCTGGTGATATTTCCAGGATCCAATAACCTTGCCTGGTACAGTATGAGGGTCAAAAATTGGCACGGAAACTTAAAGCAGGTTCTTGCTGCTGCACAGCACAAATTAGTTGTATATGGGAATGGTAGTTTTCACTTCTCTGATGCAGCTTATATGAAATATTGTTCTGTAAACTTAGTACCACTCCATAATTGCAAAAAAAAAAAAAAGTTGTAGCTGTTTGGGTGATTTTCTAAACGCTTCTAAGTAAAATCAATTACTATTTTAAAAAAAAGAAGTAAGAGAAAGGCATTGGTGGAATCCGAGAAAAAGCATAAGCAAAGGCGCAAAGGTGACAGTCGGTGGAAAACTGTAAGCAAACAGGTTCTACAAGACGAAAGACATTGTGGACAGGAGGTGAGCGGAAGGAGCTGAACTGTCGCATGAAGGTGGTTACGGGCATCCAAGAAGCTTCACATACCATGGAAATGGTGTTAAGTAGCGGAGCTGGCAATGATTTCACCAGTTGTTATTGCTGACCAGGCGTTTAGGTTTTTAACCTCAACACTATTAGTATCTAGGCCACATAGTGATTTGCAGGCAGGGTGAGGATTGAAAATACGCCCCGTACAGTATAGGAGTTTGGGAAACCTCTCTAGCCTATACTCTCCAGATCCAAGTAGTGTTAGCCAATAGTGACAAAAATTTCTTCATGCTTTGCTATGTTCCCCGAGGAGTAAAATCATACTAACTTGAGAGTGGTTGTTTTAGATGGATAGTGTAGAGGATGAATTTAAGGATGAAGACAAGTGGTAACATCAGAAGTGAATGTGATTGAGTACATTAGAGTAAGAAACCAGGAGACACTGGGATGATAAATACCAGAAAAGAAAAGGTGGGCTATAGAAAGAGTGGCAGGATGAGGCTGGGAGAAATCATGAGCTTGTTTTTTTTTTTGAGGTGGAGAATTCTAGGTACCTGACTTACATCCAGGCACATATATCTGGTAGATAGTGAAATATGCAAATCTAAAATTTCATGAAGAATTTGTTCCAGAAGGAAAGATTTGGGTGTTGTTAGGTAAATGAGGAAAGAGGTACGTAGATAACCAAACAAGTGGGCCCACAACTGAACTTTTGGGAACAGAGGTAGAAGACTGGATAGCAGGAGAGAAGTCTATCAAGGACACAGAATGGTCAGGAATAGGAGAAGAACAAGGAGACAATGATATCAAGCTTTTCACGAAAGACGTGTCTTGGTCACTATAATATAGAATGTGTACTCAGATAAGGAATGGAGACTGTTACTTGCATATAGCAGTTAGTCTAAGGTGAAAACAAGACAGTATTACTGTATTCTGTCAACTTTGTGGCTGGCACATAATGGGGCTCAGAAGAGTTTATGATATGCATAAAAGAATGCACAAATAAATCACAATTAATTAGACTGAATAAAATATCTCCAAGGTCTATAGACTTAGATTAAAATAGTTTGAGCTATAATATATCAATGGCACATGTAAGAAAATGGAGATAAGTAATGCTTCTCTTTTAGTCACTTGGACAAAATAATTTTTGCGAAGTACTTTAAGAATCTCAGAACTAGGCACCACAGGAATATATTTCAGTTGTCTTTTTTCATACCAATATGCAGAAATATTTTGTTGAATTATGCCAGTGACAAAACAAATCCAATGTATAACCGAACTCATTCAATTTATAAATCATCATTTTTGTGTCCTAGAATATGCCAAATTGTATCTAGAAAGGCATGAACAGCTATCCCATATAGCTAGAGACTTTTGTCACCAAAAATGTAAAAACAGTAAATATAATACTCATTACCAACATGTGTTTTGGATTCCAAAGGGGGAAATAAGTGCTTTCATATATGAAATTTTAATGAAATTGTTATGGATTTCAAAATTTTTTAAAAACTTGTTATTAAGTGTGTATAGTATCAATTTGAAATTCTACTAAGATTTTTTTTTTTGATACCGGGGATCGAACTCGGGTCCTATGTGCTTGTGAGGCAGGCCACCGAACCGCTGAGCTAAACCCCCGGCCCTAAGATTTTTTAAAACTAAGTGGTAATTGAATTCACTAAGCCCTAGAATATATATAGTCTTTGCCTGTTTATCTTGTGTTCTGCAGTTTACAGTGTCAAATGCTACATACTACAGAAATTAATTTCTTAAGGCTCAAGCTTCACTTGAGGAAATTAGTCCTGTATTCCTCTTTTCAATGCCGTAAGAAATAAGCTATGCAAAGATTACCAATTTTAAAAATGCATTATGTTATATTCATAAGGGGGCATTTTATTCTCTGTATTTACTATTAGAAAGTACACATTTAAAGTTTCAGATGCTACTACTTTCCTTTCAAATTGTGCACCTTCATTGCATAATAAAAGACTGATGATCTTTTCAGAAGTTTTTTCAGAAGTTTAGAAATAAGTTCACTTTCTCTCCTTATAATTAAATTAACACCCTAACTCTAGCTGGACATGTTTTCAAGGACGTGGAAGATGGAAAAGAGTAATGTATTCTTAGTCAAGCTAGTGTAAGTTAAATACTTATCTGTAGTGAGACACCGCTGTGAACCATGAGGTACAAATAATAAACATAAACTGTAGTCATTATTCTGAGATGTCAGCAGGCCTGTAGGAGAGCAGGAACCACATATAAATTAGAAGAGAACAATTAAGTGCTGAGCACTTTAAAGCTCCATGTGAGTACAGAAGGCATTTAAGGATGGGAGAGATCTATTGACATGCAGGAAGTCAAAGGGGTCTTCACAACAGAGACAGTCTTCTTCCTGGTTTTACTGAAGTTGATAATAGTCTCGAAGAGAAATTTGTTTTCCCAATTTGTATGAGAATCTGCTCTCTGGGTGGGAAAGATCAGGAAAGAGGATTTGAATCTGCTTTTTGGAAGAGGTCATAGATAAAGCAAGATTGGCCGAAAAATATCAGCTTTTCAGTATTTTGGGCCCCAGGGATGCTTTTCCATCCATATTTTCCTTGGTCAAGAAACAGAACTAGAAGGACTGATTTGAGCAGAGCTAATTTTCACAAAGTCCTTTGAGAATTGCAATAGTAGGGAAGTAGCTCCTTTAAAAAGACTTTAAAGATGTGTATATATGTGTATGTGTGTGCGTGTAATTATACTTGCTTGATCCTTTCCTCAGGTATTTTGGCAATAGGTTTTTCTCTGGTGTTTCTTACTGAGCCTTGTG